ATCCCTTGATACACAGCTCTAAGTTTTGGGGCAGTTTNGCTGATAATTTGATTTTCTTGGTGGGACAGAGCTCAGTGAGCAGAGAGGGGCTGGGAGGAGGCTCAGGGAAGGGGAATCCTCATCATTCCCACCCGCCCAGGCTGGATTGCCACCCTCGTTGTTCCCTCTGTATTCCCCTTCCACACTCCAGGCCAGTTCATTTCCAGCAGGATTTGCCAGGCTGGTGTTCTTTGGTTCAAAAATTTAATTTATGAATTTTGCTCTGACTTCAGGAGTTCCTGAGAGGGGTTAATTGATGGAGTTAATTGATGGAGTTAATTAATGGAATGGGTTGGGTTGGAGGGGACCTCAAGGATCACCTCATTCCAACCATGGCAGGGGCACTTTCCACCATCCCAGGGGGCTCCAAGCCCCTTCCAGCCTGGCCTTGGGCACTGCCAGGGATCCAGGGGCAGCCACAGCTGCTCTGGGCACCCGAGATCATCTACCTCCATAATCTGTGATTTTCATACTTAATTGTACATTTTCCATATTTAATTGTACAGTTCCCTCATCTGCTTCCATATTCTGTGACTTCCACACTTAACTGTACAGTTCCCTCCTCTTTGTTCACCTCTGCTTTAATTTATTTTGCACACACACACACAAAAAAAAAAAAAAGGATTTTTTTTTTCCCCCACTTTGCTTTTTTTTTTCTCTTTTCAGGCTGGGTGTCAGGGTGTGTTTTATTTTTGGCTGATTATTTTTGGTGTTTAATCCAAAGTTCCTTTCCCAAAGCAGGGCTGTGGCTGTACAAAAATCACATTTCCTTAAAGCAGCATCACTCCAAATGGAATTTGATGGTCAGCAGCTCCTTGGGAATGCACAGATCCCTCCTGTGCTGGATCTGGAGCAGCTGAGGGAGCTGGGAAAGGGGCTCAGAAAATGGAGAAAATGATCCCATGATTCAGCTAGGAGATGGAGAACTCCATGAGGGAAAAAATAACATTGCCATGTAAAGAAGCAAATATAAAACATCAGTGAGTCAGGTTAGGCTGGAAATTCAGAAATTACTTTCCCTGTTACAGAAGCATTTTGAAGGAGNTCAAGGGTGGGACAGGAGACCCAGCCCTGCCTGGATATTTCTGTGTCCATCAAAGTGAAGGCCTCAGCAGCAATTAGCCACAATTAACAATCAATAAATCACTTTCCACACTCCCCTCTCCATGCCTCCAATCTGAATTCTGAAGCACATCCCTTTCCTCAAAGTTTGAAATCAGTTTGTAGGAAAGACCAGGCCAGTTCAGAAAGGACCAAAAGTTCCTTAAGGTTTTTCTGAACTTTGTGCTTTTTGATTTTTTTGCTTTTATTTTTCACTTCTGGCATTGTCTTCAAGGCTTTTTAGAGGCCTCAGAGAGCACTGGGCATCCCTTTCTCCTCTGCTCAGGGACTCCAGGCAGTAGAAATCCCAACCAGAGAAGCTGGAAGAGGAAACTCCTTTTCCTCTGAATCAAAAATCAGGTGGAGGATTCAGAGCAAGCCCAGGTAACACTTGTTGCTCCTGGGGAGGCTTTTGCTGTTTAAATCCCATTTTTCCAAAGCTTTGTCACCTGCAGGTGACAACAGCAGCATTTTTGCTGCTTTGGGAGAACCCCATGGCAAAGGGAAAATGTGTTTTAAATGAGTTTTGCTTTCAGATTCTCAGTTCAAGGCAAGGAAAGTCTCAGCAGAGCATCACAGAGCACATTTCCACTGAAAAAAAATGAAATTGCCAAGTGGTGTGAGGAGGTTTTTCCACCAGGATAAAGGGTGAAACGGGCTGGTTCTGACTGCTGAGGTGTCACAAAGGATTTGTGGCATTTGCTGAATTTCCTGCAGATGTTAATGGGTTTTTCACTGCTGTGTGTGTTCAGTATCTAGGGCAGCAGAAATGCAGGAGGTTGTTGGGAATTCCACTGCTTTATTGAGGAAAAAGCAGGATTTTCTCCCTGTGGAATATCCAGGCATATGTGTAAACTCTGGGACTGAGCATGACTTCCAAATAACTCCAAATTACCAAAGTTTCACAGCCAGAATTAGATTTATAGCATGAAAGGCACAAAAGCTTCAAATTTTGAGTTCCTACTTGGATCCTTTCCCTTGTGTCTTCTTCCCTCCTCTCCCTCTATCCCCACCCAAAATTCTCTGGGATTTTATGAAGATTTCATCAGAGGTTGTCACAAAGGGCGAGGATTCTGCTTCAGACTCACCCTTCAATTAAAAAATCACTGAAAAATGTGATTTTCTGAGTCAGACAGGTGTTAAAATTGAGTGTCCAGCTGAGGTGGCTGCAGAGGGAGCAGGGAGAGCAGGGATGGAATGGGAACATTTTTCCTAACCAGCGTCACTGTCACCTGGGAAATGAGCAGGGCTGGCACTGTCCCTGACTCAGGGTCCTCCCTGCCTCAGGGGTGGCAGCTGAGGGGTCCAGAGGTGTCCCCACATCTGGAGAGAGTTGGAGCTGCCATTCCAGGTGTTCCCATGGCCACCCCATCCTGCAGGGACCAGGAATCCTGTCCTGCTGTGGGTGACAATGACAGGAATATTGGCTGGGACATTCCAGGGATTTTGGCTGGGACATTCCAGGATATTGGCTGGGACATTTCCAGGGATTTTGGCTGGGACATTCCAGGATATTTGCTGGGATATCTCTGGGGTGTAGCTGGGACATTCCAGGAATATTGTCTGGGACATTTCTGGGATATTGGCTGGGACAATGCCAGGGGTATTGGCTGGGATATTCCCAGGGGTATTGTCTGGGACATTTCCAGGGATATTGTCTGGGATATTTCCAGGGATTTTGGCTGGGACATTTCTGAGGTATTGGCTGGGACATTCCCAGGAATTTTGGCTGGGACATTTCCAGAGGTATTGGCTGGNTACATTTTTCACCCTGTGATAAACTACACCACAATCTGTTTCACACATTCATAGATTCCAATCCATCCCAAAGTCTTGGGAGCTTTCTCCGTGGATGAAGGTTAAAAGCAGTGTTCTCCTGGGGCTCAGGCAGAGTCATATCCCCTGTGCCCTGGGTTCCAGCATTCCAAAAGTCTCAGGTGGCCAGATGAGTGGCAAGTTCAACAGCTGGAGGTGTTGGTGGCAATTTTGGCTTTCCTTTGATTGAACAACATGGAATCACAGAATCCAGGGGTGTTGTTAAGGTCAGGGAAGATCTCCAAGGTCATCAAGCCCAAATGTGGATCAGCTGAGGCTGATGTGAGGTCCCACCAAATTGTCTGTTCTTGGTGCTCCCTTGGAGCTTCTCCAAGATCAAAACCCAGGCAGGAAAAAGCTTCCAAATGTGGGGCCTAGAACTTAGGATGGAACCGGGGCTTGGATTTATTCCCAGGTAAGAAATGTTTTGGTTTGTTGAAGGCTCAGGGTCACCAGATCCAGGCTGGCTTGAAGGGACATGTCCCTGGAGTTCCGTTACCTTGGAATAGCAGGAACAGCAAAATAAACCCCAAATAAGCCCAAAACTGGGTGTGACAGACCCCCTGCAAACCTCTCTCACATTCTGGGGCTCAGCTGATCCTTCTGGGTCAGGAAGGGACAGCTGAGCCAGGAATAGCCAAAGGAAAGGTCTGGAACTTGGAAATGGAGGAATGGGGTGAAATGAGAGAGGTTTGTGTGGAACTTGGATCTGACCCACCACAAACTCTTGGTGCCATCACTGGGGCTGAATTTGGAGGGAGGTTTGAGCTCTGTGGGTGAAGAGTGTGACTCAGTGCCTCATTTGTTTGGGATCACATCTGGGGTTGGATCATTACTGGATCCATTTCTCCAGATCACCATTGGCATGAGGAAGCTGAGGCCTGCAGGATGAGGGGGAGGGAGGAAGATCCATTAGAATCTCCGCAGGGAATAAACTTCCCAAATTTCATCTTTTCTTTCTTAAATGTGACCATCCTGTGGTGAAGGAATTTTCCTGATATCCAACCCTAAACTCCTCTGGCACGACTTGGGGCCATTTCCTTGTGTCCTGTCCCTTGTTCCTTGGCTGACCCCACCCTCCCACAGCAGCTTTGTGCTGAATCCTTCCCATCAAATCAACTCAGCCACGTTTCTTTTATTGCTTTCACGGCTTCATCTTTTCTTCTTTCATGCTCTGTTTGACTCTTTAGTTGTTCAGATGACTCCTGAATGTTTAAATGTTTATTACCCAGATCCTCCTTTGACATCAACAAGGCTCTGGTGCATCCCAGGCCTGCCCCGCTCACCTGAATTCACAATCACCTGAGCAAGGCTCTCACGTCACCCCAGGGACCCCAGGGCAGCCAGGTTCTGCTCAAAATATTAAATAAACATAACAGCTCCCCTCCAGAAGGCATAAAACAACATCAGGCTGGATAAAAGTGATTTGTAGCTCTGTGATACAGCTCGGGCAGGAATCTGTAAATGCTCTGTGCTGTGCATAACTCTCAGTTTGGCCTTTTCCAAGATAAAGTGTTTTTTTCATGTACAGGAGCAGTGGCAGAGCTGATGGAGAAATCCTCACTTCCCCTTTTTTTTTCCTGGGATAAATTCCCACCCTGCTCCAGGGACCTGGAGGGTCGTGGTGGGACAGCCCTGCCTGGATATTTCTGTGTCCATCACACTGAGGGCTCAGCAGCAATTAGCCACAATTAACAACCAGTGCATCACTCTTAAATCTGAATGCCTTAAATCTGAACTCTGGAGCAGATCCTTTTCCTCAAAGTTTGAAATCAGTCTGTAGCAGCAATTAGCCACAATTAACTTCACTCTCCACACTTCCCTCTCCATGCCTTAAATCTGAATTCTGGAGCAGATCCCTTTCCTCGAAGTTTGAAATGAGTTTGTAGGAAAGACCAGGCCAGTTGAGAAAGGACCAAAAGTTTTATTTTCCTGGGATAAATTCCCTCCCTGCTCCAGGGAACTGGAAGGTCAAGGGTGGGACAGGAGACCCAGCCCTGCCTGGATATTTCTGTGTCCATCAAAGTGANACAAGATCTCAAATTGAACTCTTTTTCTCTTGGCAGCCACGTCCCCGGGCCAGGACAGCCATGCCAGCCTGGAGCACCTTCCTGCGTCCGAGCAGATCCTGCAGAGCCTCAGTGAGCTGGCCAGGTCCTTCCAGGAGATGGCTGACCGCTGCCTGCTGGTGCTGCACTTGGAAGTCAGGTAAAAACCTGGAATCTGGGCATGGAGGGATGTGCTGGTGCTCACAGGGGTCCCAGGATGAGGGAAGAGATGAGGATCTGACTCCATGTTTCAGAAGGCTGATTTATTGTTTTATCATAAATATTATATTAAAATTAGACTAAAAGAATAGAAGAAAGGATTTCATCAGAAGGCTTGCAAGGAATAGAAAAAAAATGGAATGATAATAAAATTTTGTGACTGACCAGACAGTCCAATACAGCTGGGCTGTGATTGGCCATTAATTAAAAACAACCAACACAGACCAATCACAGATGCACCTGTTGCATTCCACAGCAGCAGATAACCATTGGTTACATTTTGTTCCTGAGGCTTCTCAGCTTCTCAGGAGAAAAAATTCCTAAGGAAAGGATTTTTCATAAAACATAACTGTGACAGAGGGGCATCTTGGGAGGCTGCAGGTGGAGATCATGTCCAGAGGACACAAATAAACTTGTCCATAAATGCATCAAAGATGAGTCCAGGAATGCCAGATCTCCAAATCGTGGGTGGCCCAATGAGGATGGAGGCAGGCACCAAAAGTGGAATTTCCTAGGGAGGTTTGTCTCTTAACTAAAAGAATTCAGGAAGAAATTCCTCAATGTGGATGTGGTGGGGTCCTACCAGAGCAGCTGGGGCTGCTCCTGGATCCCTGCAATGTCCAAGGCCAGGTTGGACAGGGCTGGGAGCACTCTGGGATGGTGGGAGATGTCCCTGCCCATGGCAAGGGTGGCGCTGGATGACCTTGTAGGTCCCTCCAACCCAACCCATTCTGTGATTCCATGATTATGGTTCAGAGACCAGGAAAAAATGTGATTTTCGGGGACTTTGTCCTTCCAAACAGCACAATGGTGTTGTCACAGTCTAACAGGTGTCTCCACAGTTTGGGTTTTTTTGGGATTACAAATAGGAGTTTCTCCTCCCACTTTTTCAAACAGTAACAGGAACTGAGGACCCAGCTGGATTTTTTTTAAGGGCTGGGCGATTTCATGAAGTCTCTGCCTTCACATGCAAAGACCAAAGGCAGCAAATCCCTTCCCTCAATCTGCCAGCTGCCCACTCCAGGGCTGGGAAGATGTTTTTCCCTGGAGAACTCTTCAGGCCAGGTGTATTTTCATTGCTTCCCTTTGCTCTGAGGCATCAGATAGCAGGGGGATGTCAGAGCTTTGATGGATCACCAGTTTGTTCTTCGGTGACACATCCCAAGCCACGTCGTGTCCCCGTGTGCTCTGCTGGATCAGCGTGGGGCTCTGGGAAAAAAATCCAGATTAATTCTTGTCAGCACTCCTTCATCCTGCCATCCATCAGTGCTGGGCTTGGGAGGATTTGAGGAAAAGGAGGTGGAAATATGGAAATGAAGTTTTCCAGCTGGTCTAAAGGACCACTGGCCTCTGTGGCTTCTTGTCACACTTGGGTTAAGCAAAAACCCCTGAAATGGACTTGAGGGATAAATTCTGCAGTGATTTAGAGCAGTGCTTCCAACAGGAGCCGAGTTCGGAGCTGTGAATTCACCAAACCACCAAATCACTGTGTCCAAAGGGTGGAAGGCATTGAAGAATTGAGACATCAGGGAAACCCCTGGATCCCTCACTCTGCATTTCCAGCCACCTGCAGAACTCTGGTGCCTGTTCCTGGCAGGATTCTCTGATCCTGCACCCATTCCCTGGATCTGTAATGTCCAGGGTGCACAGCATGGCGGGAATCCATCCACTGTGGGTTCAGAGACACTCAGAGCACATTTGGGAAGAGCCTGGGGGTTTATCCCACCTCTGGCTGCTGCAGAGACACCAGAACAGCCAGGAATCTGGGAACTGTCTCCTTGAATTGCCCAGGAATTTTGGGAATTCCACACAATTATCCCCTGATTTTCTCCTGCCTCAGAGCCCACGTTCATTCCACATGCAGCTTGGTGTTGTCTTCTCCTCCTCCAGTGCTCCTGAGGTCACTGAGATCCTGCTCCTTGGATTTGGATGTCCTTCCTTAAAGGAGACATTTGGCACTCCCAGATCCTTCTCCAAGCCATGGAATCACATCCTACAATCCTGGCAAGGTTTGGGTTGGAGAGGACCTTAAAGATCATCCAGTGCCTCGGGCAGGGACACCTTCCCCAATCCCAGGTTGCTCCAAGCCCTGTCCAGCCTGGGAATGGAAGCGGCTTTTGTTGGAATAGCCATGGAATTTTAGATTAGTTAATGTCTGTTACAGGATTTTCATATTTTAAAAAAATATATAAAACTTTATATGTAAAAAACACATATATAAAACTTTATCTATATAAAAATTACATATATAAAATTATCTATAAGATGCTTTTACTCTGGGGATTGCAAACCCTAAACTGGATTTGCTCATGATGGCACCTCAAGGGTGTTTTCCAGGGAATGTGGAAGCCAGGACATCACTGGCACAGCTTTGGGCCACTCTGGTGTGAACTTCTGTCCCCATGTGCTGACCCTGAGTTATCCCCAAATTCCAGGGATTTTCCCTCAGGCTTTGATTTGGCAGGTGAATTCCAGAATCATGGAAAGGTTGGAATTTCCCCTGGCAGGTGAATTCCAGAATCATGGAAACTTTGGAAAAGACCTTTAAGATCATGAGGTCCAACCGTTCCCAGCCAAGGCCACGACTGCCCATGTCCCCAAGTGCCATCTCCACATGGCTTTACATCCCTCAGGAATGGGGACTCCACCCCTGCCCTGATCACACTATGCAAGGCTGGATGATCATTTCCATGAAGGAATTTTCCCTAAAATCCAACCTAAACCTCTCCTGGTGGAAGTAGAACCCAACCCTGTTCCCACTACAAAAGCAGAAAGAGCTCTGCTGTGGATCTTTCAGGACACAGCAATTTCCTCTCTGGCTTTGAGAGAAACAACTTAATTATGGTTTTTTTCAGAGTCCTAAAAGGGGATTAAACTGCATGGAATTTCTCCTTCCATGGAGGGATGATGGTTCGGCACGTTGGGATTTAACTACATGGAATTTCTTCTTCCATGGAAGGGTCAAGTTGGGATTTACTGCATGGAATTTCTCCTTCCATGAAGGGGAGCAAATTGGGATTTAAATGCATGGAATTTCTCTTTCCATGGAGGGATGATGGTTGGGCATGTTGGGATCCAACTACATGGAATTTCTCTTTCTATGGAGGGGAGCAAATTGGGATTTAAATGCATGGAATTTCTCTTTCCATGGAGGGATGATGGTTGGGTACGTTGGGATTCAACTACATGGAATTTCTCTTTCCATGGAGGGATGATGGTTGGGTACGTTGGGATTTAACTGTATGGAATTTCTCCTTCCATGGAGAGGGATAAGTTGGGATTTGACTGCATGGAATTTCTCTTTTCATGGAGGGATGATGGTTGGGCACATTGGGATTTAACTGCAAGGCATTTCTCTTTCCATGTAGGGGGGAAAGTTGGGATTTGACTGCATGGAATTTCTCCTTCCATGGAGGGATGATCGTTGGGCACATTGGGATTTAACTGTGTGGAACTTCTCCTTCCATGGAGATGGTTGGGCACATTGGGATTCAACTGCAAGGAATTTCTCTTTCTATGGAGAGGAGCAAGTTTGGATTTAAGTGCATGGAATTTCTCTTTTTATGGAGGGATGATGGTTGGGATTTAAGTGCATGGAATTTCTCCTTCCATGGAGGGAGGCAAATTGGGATTTGACTGCATGGAATTTCTCCTTCCATGGAGATGGTTTGGCACATTGGGATTCAACTGAAAGGAATTTCTCTTCCTATGGAGAGGAGCAAGTTTGGATTTAAGTGCATGGAATTTCTCTTTTTATGGAGGGATGATGGTTGGGCATATTGGGATTTGACTGCATGGAATTTCTCCTTCCATGGAGATGGTTTGGCACATTGGGATTCTTCTGCAAGAAATTTCTCCTTCCATGGAGGGATGATGGTTATTCATGTTGTAATTTAAATGCAAGGAATTTCTCNCTCCTGGTTCTCCAGGCCCTTCCCAGCTCCCTCAGCCCCTCCTGGTTCTCCAGACCCTTCCCAGCTCCCTCAGCCTCTCCAGACCCTTCCCCAGCTCCATTCCCTGGATCCTTTCCAGCCCCTCCTGTTACTCAAACCCATCTTCATTCCAAGGCCAGGTTGGACACTGGGGCTTGGAGCACCCTGGGACAGTGGAAGATGTCCCTGCCCGTGGCCAGGGTGGCTCTGGATGATCCCAAAGTCCCTTCTCACCCAGAGCATTCCATGATCCCGTGAAAGGGGAGGATGGGGAGGTTTAGGATGGAGGATGCAGCTGCAGCTCGAGCTTTTCTCAATCCCACGTCAATCCTGCATCACTCCTGGGCCGGTACCGGGGCTGTGCTGCCAGGTTTGGATCCTCAGCGCTCAACCCTCCTGTCCTGCCAGCCCGGGCAGGTTTTTGTTCCATTGGGCAGCTTTTTGTTCGATTTTCCCCAGATTTCTGCCGTTCCCTGGCAGTAGGAATCAGCAATGCTCTGCTGCCATCTACTGGGAGCTGCTGAGGGAAAGGGAAGCATTCGAACATCCCCGTGCTCTGCAGGGAGACTTTTTATTGCCAAATCTTAATTGTCTGCCTGATTTTACTCCAGATAAATCCTGTGGTTGTGCCTGGGTGCCCCCGTTGCCTGAGGGAGGAGCTGGTGGAGGGAACCTTCCTCTGAAACCATCTCTGAGCTCCATTGGTGTGTGGGGAGAGCATCAGGTCCAGCAAATCCTGACCTGGATGCTTTGTTCAGAGCCAGGAGTCTCTGCAGAGCTCCTGGGATGCTCCCCTGCCACCTGTGGCAGTCAGTTCCCCTGGATCCCATNTGCTCATTCCATGACCCCTGGCTCGCTGGTTCTGCCAGTCATCCCTTTTATCAGGTTTTCATGGAAGGAGTTGTTGTTGGAGGACCGGTGTTGTATGGGAGGTTGGGGAATCTTGGGAACAATTATCCTAACAGGAGCCACAGTCCCACTTACCGCCTCATTCACCCTCTATATCCTCATAATAACACAGCGAGGCACTCTCCCATCCCGTTCAGTGGGGTGATGGAGGTCAGATCCATCTCCAAGGATCTGCTGGATCCATCCCTGAAGATGGAACAGCGACAAGAGGAGGATGCCTCTAACAGAAACATCACCACCCATCTCCTGAAGTTATTTTACCAGCTTGAGGAAGGGGAAAGCCACTTTGCATCCCATAAAAACTTTAAAACAGGGGTTGTTTCAATGTGATGTGTCCCTCGTGCCCACAGGGTTCACTGTTTCCACTACCTGATCCCTCTGGCCAAGCAGGGGAACTACGCCATCGTGGCCAACGTGGAGAGCATGGACTACGACCCGCTGGTGGTGCGGCTCAACAAGGACATCAGCGCCATCGAGGAGGCCATGAGTGCCAGCCTGCAGCAGCACAAGTTCCAGTACATCTTCGAAGGTCAGGCTCCTCCCAGTCCTTCCTCCATAAAGGGTTTGCCATGCTCATCCCAAAGCTCCAGGATTCCTTTTGGGGGTGGAGCAGAGTGAGGCGCTGCTGTCACCTATAGAGCGTTGAGTGAGAGCCGTGTGGGAGAGCTGGGAATGTTCCCCTGGAGCAGGGAGGGATCCAGGGAGAGCTGGGAATGTTCCCCTGGAGCAGGGAAGGCTCCAGAGAGAGCTGGGAATGTTCCCTGGAGCAGGGAAGGCTCCAGGGAGAGCTGGGAATGTTCCCCTGGAGCAGGGAGGGATCCAGGGAGAGCTGGGAATGTTCCCCTGGAGCAGGGA